TCAAACGTGAGTTTTGAGCAATGTAGAGTAGCACTTGTTGTTTGTTGTTGCTCCGATCAGAAATGCAGACATGGTTTTATGTTTACGCGTCGCGATGCAACATAACGCATAAAAAGACAGTATAAGTCATTATAGTCAGTAATTATGTCCCCACTGGATGCAACAAATGCCTCATTTATAATGGGTTTTATTGGTTTTGTCTCATCGCACCGGGACACGGCATCACAGTATGGTAAGACTTTTCCGTCACACGCTTGAGGCTACACAAAATAATGTTATTTTTTAGCAACGTCATATGACCCCTTTAAACACATAGTCTATGTCAGGTGTAGGGTATCAGAGCGAATCAGACTTTTTAAGATTTGATCAGATTGGTGTTGAACAACCCAAAGAGCCGAATTCCACAGACAGGCCCAAGGCAGGAGCCACGAGTCTGAAGCAAGCCTAACCAACCAACTCTTTCACAGAACAGCTTGCAACATTAACACAAAACAACTCAGGACTTGGGGCAAGTAACCAAGATTAATGGTCAAAGACACAGCATATCATGACCATCACATGAGTAAAATCATTAGTAGAAACTGCGTTGGGTGGTTTCCCCCACCTAGAAGACAAAGACCAGGCTGAGATTCCTTATGAGACCTTTTAACCTCTGGTCTTCACAGAACATGTCCTTATGGTCACAGTCTTTTACAGATGTAGATGTGTGAAATGAACTCAAAAAGACTTATAAACGAATATCAGCCCATTGCTCAGGCACCATTTGGGATGTGTCCAACAGCCTGGTTTAAATACTCAGGACACCATCAAGCTATGCTTCACGTCATCGCTTCTAGCCTTCAGTCATGCTTTTAGGTTTTTCCTTGCCTTTTTGCCACCGAGTTTTGACGCTGCTTTTTAACGCTCTTTGAGCGTTCTCTGGCTTACACGCCAGCAGCTCCTCTAAAACCATGAGGAGAAAACCCATCTAGTCTCGTTACTTCTATTCTTCTACTTTAATTTATTTTCTTTCCCGTTGAGAGTTTTGTGTTCTGAGTTGTTTTGCCGCAACAACGTGTTTGTGTTAGACTAGTTTATATGTCTTAGATTTATCTAATAAAGCCTTATTTATATTGAAAAGAGAAGTATCTTGTGTTTTGTGCTTACAAGTTAATGTCTTAAGCTGCCGATCTTGTTACTGTGCTAATAAATAGTGTGACACTGCCACACAAAGACACGTTTTTACCGCTCAATATACATTAAGATGGTTTTTTATCTATATATTTAAGTTTTAATGGTTTTACATGGTGTCTTGGCCATTTTAATCCTCTTAATTATTTGATGTGTGTATGTCTTTAAAATGTTCATGGGTCTGCCTGTCATGTGGTCAATCACATGACAGGAATAAGGAAGTAAACCAGTACAAAGCAAGCAGCATGTCAAACAATCAAGGTCATTGACCAAACAACCACGCTGGATTGAGTTGTTCATGGACTTGCCTTTCCAGTATCTCACTCATTTTGGATTATCACTTTCTTTGGAATTGTATATACACCGGTGGACACTTTTACCTTGGGACTTCAACACACTGGGATTCTTAAGGACTGTTTTAGAGTACGATTTAAATGCACAATCTGCTTTTAACAGCCTAAGTTATTCTAGTTTTATTGTGTTGTTTTAAGCTCCTTGTGCATTATGCAAATACACGATTTATTCATTCTACTTTTGTTGTTGTCTCATCTTTTTAAAACACTTATTTTATCTCACACAGTTTCATCTGACCCATTTTAAATCCATGTAACTCGGCCGATCGTTACAAGTGTTTTCACTTTACTTTGGATATTAATATCCATTGCAGAATTGATGTTATACGGCTCGTTCAATGAATCGCTGGCCGACTCCGTGATCAGCCGTAAAACAGTGATTCTGTCCAAATTCCCTATAAAATCATAAATGATTCCCTTTGAGCTAAATTGACCTGTTTCCCTTACACAGGGGTGTCCAAACTTGGTCCTGCAAAGTTTAGCTCCAACTTGCTTCAATACACCTACCTGGAAGTTTCTAGTATGCCTAGTAAGACCTTGATTAGCTGGTTCAGGTGTGTTTAATTGGGTTTGGAACTAAACTCTGCAGGATAGTGGCCTTCCAGGAGCAGGACTGGACACCCCTGTTCTATGTGATCTATTGCTCTCGAGATCATTTTATTTTTTTTTTATTATTCTAATAGCGCACTTTTGTACTTGATATTCCATCTTATCCACAGGCCTTTCAAATTATAGTCCACTGACTGTGAGTGTGGACTGACATGTTTGGCACATGCACACTACCTAGTGTTCAAATCACTCGCACATGCATTCAGGCTGCATGCAGAGGTTGTGCATGGACATTAGGGGATAGTGCTTGTGACTCATAAAAATAAAAAAAAAAGAATAATATTTATTTATATATTTTTTATTTTATGTATGAATGAAATACTGCTGCATTCACACAATTCAGCCAAGAGGGCATATAATCAGAGCTAATGTTTTTCTAAACCTGGATTCTATGACAGTAGCCTAACTAGGAGAAACCCCCCTAACAGGCTTACATGCAATGAATTCTGGTTTATTTCTTTTTTTTTTTTTTAAAGATAGAAAGCAAGGGATCAATTATTTGCTTCTGGAATGCAAATTTCAAAAAAAAAATTTTTTTTTTTTTTTTTTTATTTCAAAAAAAAAAAAAAAAAAAAAAAACTTTAAAATCTGAAAAGAATGGCAAATTACAGAGAAAAAGTGTGAAATAATGACTGTTATATATAAACAGTAGGGGTGTGACGAGACACTTATCCCACAAGACGAGACAAGACACGAGACTGGGTTCACGAGAACGAGACGAGACGAGATTTTTAGACTTTTTTTTAAAGAAATCCTCAATGATGAAATATAATGATGGGAAGTTCGGATCATTTTACCGACTCTCAGCATATTCGCCGATACCGATATATCGGCGACAGGCTCATATCGGCCGATAATATTGTCAAAACGATATATCCTTATAATAGACACTATGTAAATTAGGTTGTGCTTACAGTTGAGGCACATGTGCGTGTGTGGACAGAGACGCAGAGAAATTCAAACGAGTGTAACACCACAAAAACTCAATAAAGCTTAGAACAACACAGCAATCAGGGATGGAGACTTAAATGATACACTCTTGGTTATTAAAGCTTCAGTAAAAATAGTGTATACTCTAACTTGCAAAGGCTTTTTAGTGCTAAATTTAGTGCTATACATGAAAGAAGAGAAACGCATATCTTTGCTATTGTCAGTCACATCAAAACTGACTATTTGTAAGCATTGAAAAGAATGAATCAAACAATCTGATACAATTTATGTTGGTTTTTAAAATCAGTTTTCTGTAGATGGGTCTGATGAGTATCTATTGATCTATCAATTGATAGAAAATAGAAAAATAAAAACAAGCTGCAATCTTGCAGCACTGATGTGAAAAGTGTATATGAGAAAGAATCCAGATAGATGCTAAATAGAGAATATAGATTATTATATTATAGAGACACTACAGACTTTAAGGTAATATATAATAAGAGGATAAGACTGAAGAACTACTTAAATACATCTATTATGTTTAGACTGACTAATTATTTCTTCAAGAAATTGGTATTTTTTTGGTTTCCTGAATGACAGTCATTCAGTGTATTCTGATGACGTATTTTCTACAAGTAAATTGATCATCACAAATATTTTATTTTGGCTGACTTTTAAAAGTGTGACAACTGAAGCATAGCTCATGCACAAGACTGAAGCCATAAGCACCAAGTGGTTCGGCCAAATCAGCATCAGCTCAACAGTTTAAATTATGTTAATTATGCAGGAAAGTAGTGCACAATGAGCAGGACTGGACAGACCCCAGCCTTGAGAATAGAAATAAAGGAAAGAAAGAGGTAGAAATAGCTGGTTTCTAAACATGCATAACTCAGACTCACCAGGGCAGGGTAGGAGGGGTATCCACTACATTTAGCCCAAACTAATTTGAGAGGTTCCAGAACTGTAGCAGCACTAGCAGGCATCCAAATACTGCTGTTGCCAACTTCTATAAAAGCAGGAACATCAACAACCATGTTATGATGGTGCAGACATATATGTCTATAGTGATATAGCACATAATAATAATAATAATAATACAATTTCAATACTTTTAGACCATTCAGGTAGCTATTTTTTATATAGTGGAAAATAGGGGTGAAACAGTACAAAAGAAAATAAATCTTAAAGTCACAGCTCAGTACGTTTTCAATACAGGTGGTATCTGTGGTTCAGTGGTTCACTGAACAAACTATGGCTATGTCTTTAAATTTTAATCAAAACTTTGTTAAGGATAAAAAAATCGATCTCAGCGAAAGCTATAAACTATACACTGGGAGCCCGATCACTTGCACATTACTATATTATTAAAGGCTACAATTAAAAACAGAGCCCAAACTATTCAACTGCTATTTATTTTTAGATCTCAATCAACACTCAAATTAAAAAGTGTATGCAAACATGTAAATTGCACATAAGCCAGTTTTTACATTATCTTATAAATCTAATTATAAAATTGTTTCTACAAAGCATAGACTAAAAGATCAATCTTGAAATTTAAGAATTAGTTTGTTAAAATTAAGATATATAAAAACAGAAGTTTCAAATTAAGTTCACTATGTGCAGTGGTTAAAACAACTCTGTATTTGTTTGGTACATATACATACCTAACCAAAAGACGCGTACCGAAATTGTTCTGTACGAATACGTGTGCCGTTATACCCCTTGTGGACAATTAAATTCATAATGTTTAATGCAAAAATAAATAAATAAATAAAATCTTTAAAATGATCATGGCATGTTTTCATGGATGTGGACATGTTCCGGTCCTCTAATCTGGCATCCAAATAAATGAAGAGGCATCCCAATAGTGCCATTTCTAATATTAGCACTACAACTAAAGCTGCACAATGATTTATTCATTTATCTATCTATCTATCTTTTTTTCTTTTTGAATAAAATGATGATTCTTTTGTCATTCTGAAGAAAAAAAAAAAATATTTCAGTGATTTACAAAACCACTAAATAATGGTGAAACTTTTGTAAATTTGTAATAAATTTACAAAAATAATGTCATTTTAAAAAGTTCAGACAAAATATTATTTACTTCAGTCTATTAAAAACAACATAATATTTGACTTACACCATTTGAAGGCGGTGTGCCAAATCTACTTACAAAAAAAACAACATTATAGCATAGCCTCATTTGTTTACGCTGAAATGCAGAGCAGCAAGATATTTCTTTAAAAATATCCCATCCACTGTGATTTGACTCACTGTCAAACTGAGATCAAATTACAGTTCAGTTAAAAGTGTACAGATGTGGATACCTACCAGCAGCTATTCTAGCAGCCTTGGCGAAGTTTCTACTCTCGATGCAAGCAATAATCTCATTCTTGTCCTCCACTGTGTTCCTCCGGATGAGGGCTGGCTTCCCCTTTCCACACTTCGGTAGATTAACTGCAATACTACTTAAGACAGACAAGAAAACATGATGGTGTGGTGTGGGATGCACATGAAAATAGGAATGGTACAGGGTTACAGGGGTGTGCATTTTGACTACTCAAGCACTTGAAAGATAAAACATAAATCAGCAGAGTGCTCGAGTACTTGTGGATGCAATGTGTGTTCCTGCAGCTCAAACCACTGAGCATGATTCTAGCAATGCCTAAGCCATGGATTTAATTCTCAAGGGATGAATAAAGTGATACATTAAAAAAATGCAACAATTAAAATTAAACTGTTTAGTTTTGGAAAAAATTAAAAATTATTTGGTCAGAATACAATTTCAATACAGCGCCCTACACAAATTTGGACCCCCTTGGTATATATAAGCTTAACAGGCCATAGAAAAATCAAAAATGTCTTTGGTGTTTCTGCTCATAGTCTTTCTTTAATAATATTTACAAAAAAGTCTAACCTTCAATTAATGTATGATAATTAAAAGAAGAATATTATATTGTTGAAAAAAAACGACATTGTTTTTATTATTGCCCCAACAATATGAAAAATATATAATGATTAAGATTTTTTTAACCGTTCATTTCAGCCTCACAATCTTGATAATCGTATCCTGTGTTGAAGTTACACTATGCAGATCGTGGCCTAGACTTTCATCCTTCCCTATAGAAGGTGTCTGTTCTGTGTGAACTGGCATGATCTCCTTACTTTTTCCTCCTTTCCCTCAGGACCTCCTCTCTGCTGCTGAATTGCTGCTGCTGTTGGTTATTGCTGTAGTTGTAGATTATTGCTGCTGCTGCAACCAAGTACAGGAACTTGCTACTGGCAATACTTGTTAATTGTATGGGCAATTTAATGTACACCATTAAATTCTTTCAATATGTTTTTAATATGTATTTATTTATCATTAAAAAAAGGTATATGTAATATTGTGTGACAAAAGTATCATATGGTGTGACTTGGAAAAACAGCTGTGCTGTGAGTATTTAAGACATACTGCTGCTGCACAAATAGCATATAAAATAACCCCTCAACAAAGCTGGAAGAAGAAAACAAAACAACTAAACATGAATGCTGCTGCTATACAATAATGTGGGTGGTTGACATATAAGCCTGAAAAAAAACATTTTTTTTCAACTTCAAATATTAGGCATAAAAAATATTGAGCTGTGTTGTACGGACTCTTGAATTTCCCAAAAAATATGTGGTCTTTTAGATTTTGTATTGGAAATTGGATTTATTTACCAATTTGTTGCATTTGTGCCTAAAATTGTCATATGGTGTGACATAAAAGTTATTCTATATAAAATGAAATTGGGATATACTCTCCCTAAGTAACTAACTTCACCATAAATCTTTATCATTACTATCTTAAGATTTAACATTATTTTGTGCAGATCCATTAGATTTTGTATTATTTTTCTAAATCATCATGCAGAATAAGACATCTCTCCTCAGATTTATAACAGGGTTTGTCAGAATCATTCTAAAATGTATGGAAAGGCTAACAAAATGCTTGTGAATCTTGCTGATACTATTTATTTTTTGTTCCATCGACTTTTTTATGGTTTATAACAAAAAAAGTATTTTTATTGCCACAATTCTGATTGTCACACCAAATGATATAGTGTCACACTATGATGAAATGCACCACACCACAATTTGTCAATGCAAAAAAGCGTATTTTATATGCATTAAACATTCAATTCAACTAACATTAATAAAACTAAAAATCATCAAACATACCAACATTGTTTTAAAACTTTTAAAAATGTATTTATGAAATTCAGAAATACGAGTAAATCAAACACCATCTCACGCCAAGAACCTTCAACATGAACATTTTAAGATTAGAGAGTGTGTGTTGTAACAACAATTATAATTGTTAAACAGTAAAAATATTATCAGCTTACAATTTACCTGATCGGTTGACCAGATAGCTTAAACTAGTGACCTGAGTTAAATGTGTTTTTGGGCTAATGGAGCCCAGATAAATTAACTAGTGGCTTAACAATGTGAACCTGGGTTCTGTACCCTTAGGTTTATTTAACTAATGACCTAAATAACTATGTGTGTCTGAGCCAATAACTCAAACTTACCTAGGTAGAAACGCGCACTGTGTGTATCATTAACAAACAGGGATCACACTGTAGGCTGATAGATGAAGTAACCCCCAGCAACCACCTGACTCAGGCTCTGGCGGCCTGAGCAAATAGTTGTAAATTTGTCATTCAAGAGTTGTAATTATTTATTGTTTTTCTCCCCATTAACATTCATCAATGTTACTGCAATGGAAATACTTACCTTTAACTTATTAATAAGCTAACAAAATATCTGGCAAAAGAATAAATCACTGTACACCCTGTAGTCGTGGTGTCATATGCCCAGGACTAATTCTGCCTCAAAAGCAGCTGCTTATTTATTTTGATAATTTAAAATATTTATATTGCCAAGACATATGTACTGCTGCTGCTTTGGAGAGACATGAGACTGTGTGTTTGCTATCATTGTGGCCCTGCTTTGCTAAATGGCTTAATGCTTGTGGACTATTGCTGTGTGTACCTGATCGGTTGACCAGATAGCTTAAAACTAGTGACTTGACATATGTCTTTCTGGGCTAGTGAAGTCCATAGAAATTAACTAGTGGCTTAGCATTGTGAAACTGGGTGCTGTACCCTTAGGTTTATTTAACTAATGACCTAAATAACTATGTGTGTCTGAGCCAATAACTCAAACTTACCTAAGTAGAAACGCGCACTATGTGTGTCATTAACAAACAGGAATCACACTGTAGGCTGATAGATGAAGTAACCCTTAGCAACCACCTGACTCAGGCTCGGGCGGAGTTGTAATTTTTTTTTTCCCATTAACATTCATCAATGTTACTGCAATGGAACGTTCATTTCAGCCTCACAATCTTGATAATAGTATCCTGTGTTGAAGTTACACTATGCAGGTTGTGGCCTAGACTTTCATCCTTCCCTACAGAAGGTGTCTGTTCTGTGTGAACTGGCATGATCTCCTTACTTTTTCCTCCTTTCCCTCAGGACCTCCTCTCTCCTTGCATGGCCAGCATTGAGTCTTTCCCTGTATTTTTTGTGTCCTCTCTTTACTTGACATTTCTGCCTGACACAGACAAAAAAATTGCATCTTTTAATATGTAAAGCATGGCAAACATGGTTAAATTAAGTATAAAATTGAAAAGGAATATATTAATTGTATGGGCAATTTAATGTACACCATTAAATTCTTTCAATATGTTTTTAATATTTATTTATTTATCATTAAAAAAGTTGTATG